GGCCTCCTCGCCCCTGCTGGGGGGAGGCCGGTCCCCGTCTGGTGCTTCCTCCTCCACGGACGGCTGCTCATCCGACAGCCTCTCCGCTTGGTCGGGCAGCGGAGAAACCGGCATCACCTGAGCCTGGAGCCCTGCCGGAGGGACGGGCTCGGCCGCGTCGCGGTGAGCAGTGCCGGGATCCTCCTCCTCCTCCTCCTCCTCCTTCTCCTTCTCCTCATCCTCCTCCTCCTCCTTCACCTCCTCCTCCTCTTCCTCCTTCTCCTCCTGCCCCACCAGCCTCAGGTTCTGGCCTGGGGGTGTTTTGGCTCTGCCGGCATCGCTCTCCAGCTCAACCCTGCCATCGAGCTCCTCGTCCGACTCGGCAGCCAAACCCTCCGAGCGCCCCCCTGCTCCCTCGTGCCCGCCAGAGCCTGTGGCACCCCGGGTTGGCTCGTCAGCGCCTCCTGCTAACGGCCCCGTGGCCCCGGGGGAGACGGGGTCTGCCTCGGGCACAGTTGGACCTTCCTCCAACTCGGCGGTAAAACCACCAGCATCGTCCTCATCCTCATCCTTCGGCATCTCGGGTTCTTCTCCGGGCATCTTCACGTCTTCGTCTGCTTCCCCAACAAATGCCTCAAAGAGCCCTTCGTCCTCTGGCACAGGAGATGCTTCTCCAGGAGGTTCCACACCATCGTTGCCAGCTTCGGTGGCTTCAACTTTAATTTCTTCAAAGTCCTCGGAGATCTCGGCTTCCTCCGAGCTGGAAAGCTCTTGGTTGGGAGCAGAGACCATGAAATAGCCTTCCTCCTCCTCAGCACCCTCTGCCGCAGGGGCTACCTCTATCCTTGCCTCCTCTTCAGGGCTCTCTGGCACGATGGGAGTTGGTGGCTTGTCCCTCCCTTCCAGCCATCCTTCATCCTCTGGAGCTATTTCGGAGGCGGGGGCTGCCTGGGTGCTCTCCTCGATCTCTGGAGGGTTTTGGCCGGGTGCCACCACAGCCAGCATCTCCCCTTGGTAGAGGTGCAAGGGCGTGCTGTCCGGCAGCGTGTCCTCCAGCTCCACGCTCCTGCCCGTCCCTGGAGCCTCTTCCAGCTCTCCCGATCTCCCATCCTCCTCCTCCTCTGCCGACTCGCCGCTCTCCACGCCCTCACCCGGCGCCTCTTGAAGCGCCGTGGGACCGGTGCTGCTGCGCTCACGCTGTGCCG